CCTGGCCAGGCCGGGGCTGGAGTCGGGGCTCCGGGGCCGGGAGCTCAGAACTGCCCCGCACCAAGGGACTCTCTGCCGAGGGGGCCTGGCGCCACCGAGGAGATCCTGTTTTCCTGTCTGGAACTGCGGAGTCGTTGGGAAATCCCCACCCAGTCTACAGCACGCCGAGTAGAGAGAACGTGAGGGCCTACCTGTGCCCAGGTGGGCTGCCAGAGTGAGCCCGTGTAAGTACTGTCATAGGTCGCACGTGGGACATACACTGAAACAAGATGTATTGTGTACCTGAAATTCAAAGGCCCCCTGGGAATGTGTAGAGAGTCCGTATTTTACCTGGCAGCCCAATCTAGGGAATAACAGTAACTAGCAAATGATTTCATTTAACTTACAAAAGCTGGGGGGAAATCTGATTGCCCAGGACTGAAACCTTTCTGAAAGGTGAATCACATAATGCCAAAGAATTCTTTTGTTTTGCAAATTTGACCCTGAAATTCAGGAGCTTTGTGTTTGTGTGTGTGTGTGTGTGTGTGTGTGTGTGTGTGTGTGTGTCATTTTAAGCTTTTAATCTGTTTCACAAGCTTTTTTTTTAACCCTAGTCTCACTCTTCCACCCAGGCTGGAGTGCAGTAGCACACTCACATCCACTGCAGCCTCGACCTGCTGGGCTCAGAAGACTCCCACGCCTTAGCCTTCTAAGTAACTGGAACTACAGGTACTCACCTCCACATGCGGCTAATTTTTTGACTTATTGTAGAGATGAGGTCTCATCAAGTTGCCAGGGCTGGTCTCGAGCTCAGGCTGGTCTCACTTCTGCCTCCCAAAGTGCTGGGATTATGGGCGTGAACCACGGTACCCGGTCTAAGATTTTTTGCAAAAGAAAATGTTCAGGGCTGGGAAAAGACGATGTATCTGAAAATATTAAACACTCCACGTCAGACCACAGCTAACCTGTGCAGACTGGAAAATAGATTAAGACACACATCCTGACCTGTGAACACTGGTTACCAGTCAACACAAGTAAATTCTCTAAACAGTTTTTAACAACACAAAGGGTACCTGGTCCTAAACCAGGGGAAGTGAGAGCCAATTGGAGGCCCAGACTTCACCTGCATGCGGCATGCCTGTGTAGTTAACCCTTGCTTGTACCCCACATCTCTGTAATAAAATAAGCCTTATAAAGGAGAGAAGAGAGGGGAAAGGACACCATTACTTTCATCTTTCTCCTAAAGAAAGAGTCACAATTAACAAAAGCCCCTCTCAACAGGATTTTAAAGAGAAGCTTTAAATAAAGATGACCCAGAGCTTGTTTCTAGCCTAAAGCTGCCTGGAAGAGGGATCCTTGTAACTCAGGACAGTTGATCTTCAGTTCTTCAAAGGCTCAGGTGGTGAAATAGCTTTCTGCCAATAATTAGACTCTCCTCTTCCCAGAAAGAGTCCCATACTTTGCATGCCAAAAGTATGAAAAAAAGTCAATAAAACAAATAACTCTTAGACTGTGTTGTCACAATTTCATATCCTTAAGCACTCTTAGGAAGTGGAAAGACATGGTGGAAGACCTGAACGCAGAGGCTGGCTCTATCTACAGTCACTCCACAAGTTTAGCATTTCCTTGAGGTCTCTAACTCTAATTTCCCCTTATCACTCCCTCCCAGAAGGTGACCTCCACCAGACTCTCTTTATCAGCTACTTGTCAGTTGTGGCAAAGGAGATCAAATTCATTAAAATATTCAGTGGCAGGCTGGGCGCATGGTTCATACCAGTAACCCCAGTACTTTGGGAGGCTGAGGCAGAAGGATTGCTTGAGCCCAGGAGTTTGAGACTAGCCTAGGCAACACGGGGAGACCTCATCTCTACAAAAATCAAAAAATTATCCAGGCATGGTCCTGTAGTCCCAGCTACTTGGGAGACAGAGGTCAGAAGATAACTTGAGCCCAGGAGTTCAAGGCTGTAGTGAGCTCCAGCCTGGGCATCAGAATGAAAGAAAGAAAGAAA